TCCTTAAAAGAAATAAATTGTAACAGAAAATTGAAGGAATTTTTAATATTTTTTATTGAGCTTTGTACCACGATTGTTTATTAGGAAAAATTTAAAAAGCCACAAAGTCTAAGCGGTAGAAGTTATAGCAGCTATTTGGAGATCACCACATCTCCTCATTAGACTTATTTTTTCTAGACTTCAGCAGGGATCGAACCTGCGTAATCGATGTTCAAAGTCAAAAGCGTTAACCACTGAGCTATGTACATCCCGTAAACTCTTGTTGCTAATTCATTTTCCTTATTCAACCAACTACTATCAAGTGCAGCTGATTTGCCGCTATTTAAACTCGACAGCGTGGTTGTTGTTGTCAATTCTATACATCCATTTGCTTATTTGCTTTTTTGTATAGTTTCAGGCAGGCTCTTCCTAAACTATGTATTTGTCAATGTTATTGTGGCTTGTTAACATTTTATTTTTAATATTTTTATTGAGCTTTGTACCACGATTGTTTATTAGGAAAAATTGAAAAAGCAACAAAGTCTAAGCGGTAGAAGTTATAGCACTATTTCGGAGATCACCACATCTCCTCATCAGACTTCTTTTTTCTAGACTTCAGCAGGGATCGAACCTGCGAATTCGATGTTCAAAGTCAGAAGCGTTAACCACTGAGCTATGTACATCCCGTAAACTCTTGTTGCTAATTCATTTTCCTTATTCAACCAACTACTATCAAGTGCAGCTGATTTGCCGCTATTTAAACTCGACAGCGTGGTTGTTGTTGTCAATTCTATACCTCCATTTGCTTATTTGCTTTTTTGTTTAGTTTCAGGCAGGCTCTTCCTAAACTATGTATTTGTCAATGTTATTGTGAAATATATAGATATATATGTCGGCCCCTGTGGTGTAGTGGTAAGCAGTGCGCGCTTTCACTCATCAGCACCTGGGTTCAAACCCTGGTCAAAGCAACATCGCAAAAAATATAGAAAAAGGTTTTTTCTTAACAGCGGTCGTCCCTCGGCAGGCAATGGCAAACCTCCGAGTGTATTTCTGCCATGAAAAACGGCTTCTCATAAAAATACAATCGCCGTTCGGAGTCGGCATAAAACTGGAGGTCCCTCCCCTTGTGTGACAACATCAAGGCGCAAGCCACATATCGGAGGAGAAGCTCGGCCAAACACTAACATATGTGTAAGCGCCAATCTATTATTATTATTATATATTTTTTTAAGTCGGTTTTTTTTTGCTAAAAATTACTTGCTTAAATAAGGCACATCGGAATATGCGCTCTCTGGGAAGACAATACCTGTAATTATTGTACCATGGTTTCAAACCCATTTATTTATTATTTATTTCATGGTAGGAGAGCTTCTCAAACAATATAGAAGCAATTTTTTCGATTCAGGTTGTTGAAAAGTAATGAATATCTAAATCCCGGGACTAATCCTGGGATTGTGACAACGCCATCCCGAAAATCCCGGGATCGGAAAAAGCCGGAAAATTAACATCCCTAGTACGTACATACATATGTATATGCACACACGTGCTTTCAATTTCTATTGCGAATGACAAAAGTATAAAATCAAATTTTTTTATCAAGTGCATGCTGTGTATGCTAGATCACATACAATCTGGCGCAAAATTAAACAAATTGTTTGGCTTAAAGTATAGGGTGAGATAACACTTAAAGTATGCAACGAAAATCATTTACTTCCGTTTACTTTTTATAACAGTGGTGCCTACAAAAAGTAAATATGATTGCGACACCATTGCGATAGTGATAGAGAGTGCCGATAGCCTTTCGGATCGCATTTGCTTTTCGTATCGCATTACAGAGTAACCCCCCTGATGACAGTACGAATGAAAATTCAAACGATTCATTTCGCGTGTTATTCTATTCGTTATGCATAACGCCCGTATTTTTTTCGGTCAAAAAACAGTATATTACTGCGCAAAAATCCTGTTTCGCAGTATCTCCATTTAAAAATAAAAGCACTTTTTACAGTATATTACAGTTTTGCACTAAATTAAAAGAATTCCTGGTATGGTACACATAAAACCAGGTATTCCTTTATTGTACAGCCTGAGACAAAATGATATGTCTATGACATGTAATTCAAAATTTCTTTACTTGCCTTAATCACCAACTAGGCTAAGCTTCTTTGGGCTTATCAAAATGAATAAAATATACGACGAAAATTGGCCAGCAAATAAGATATTATGTCAAAATTTCCCACTTTGTACAAAATTTAGAAAAGTTCAAAAAAGATATTCTAGTTGAAGTGTCTAAAACATACCATTGATCTTTGATTTTTTTTTTTTTGCTGACGACGTCACACATTTTATTCCATACAAAGTTACTATGTTCGACAGTTTGTTTTGTATGGAAGAAAATTATAACACAGTCGGCAAAAAAAAACAAAAATCAACGCGAATTCTTAGCCTATTGAAACTTGAACGTTAATAAGAGCTAAAACTGCATACTTGGAATTTTTCTAAAAATTATGAATACAAGTTTGTTGTTGTAGTTTTTTTATTAATTTCCCTACAAAGTTTGCAAAAAACGTATAAATCAGGGCTGCACATTAGCATTAATTTTATCAATAAACGAAAATACAAAATCGTTTTTGCTTTTTACATCGATCATTTTAACATTATGTGTTTATCAAAAAAAAATTGTTTTGTTAATTATCAGAAAAATATGTCAACAACAATTTCGTTTCGTTGATTATCAAAAATATCAAAAAACAAAATTGCTTCTGCAGCAACCAAAAAATTTAATAAACACGCAAATTTCTTATTTGATGGATTTGCGGGAACAATGGGTCGTAGAAAAGTAGTAGTAGAGTCAATTGTATTTATAAGATGTGCCGCGCACACCATCCAGCTAAGCGTAAACGATGTCTTTAAAAATCAGAGACTGAAAATAAAAGTTATTTTACAATTTTTGACATCAAAAAGGCATAGTGAAAAAATTATGCTATAGCTTTTTCAAAGGTACCATTAAACCAGTGCTGCTCAAAATTTTTATATTGAAGTGAAATCACAATACATCTACAAAGTTTATGTGTACACTGAGATTTTTTTTTTTTGTAATTTAAATGAAGCTAAAAAGTACAAGTTTATTTTTATTGTACGATTAGTGAATGAAAATTGTTAGCAATGCGAGTCTTTACATACATATTTGTGAAAAATACAGTTAGGAAATGATAGCGACCTAGTGGCAGTGTGACCAGGTTAGCCTTTTTGAGGCTAGATTTAGCATTTAATTTTATGTCATAGTCTCAGAAACTTAGATCTGTAGTGCGATTCCCATTTTTCCTACCGACCGATAATCGTTATGATAATGAGCGACGTTTGTGGCTTGCAGTAGCGAATAGGCTATTCTCAAAAACACACTTAACGACATAATTCGTTAGGCATGTCGGTAAAGAAGTTTGCGACGATTTNAAAAAAAACAGAAGCGCTAGAGCTACTACGGAGCAGTACCACAAAATGCTGGACTTTTTCCTTGGCAATAAGGGCCTCGCGGAAGGCAAGTTCTCCGCGATTCATGGCCGGCAAGAAGCTTCCCGGAAATGGGAAGAGCTAGCGATGTTGCTAAATAGCTCAAATGGTGCCGAAAAATCTGCAGCTCAGTGGCAAGTAGTAAGTTATAGTAGATCACATAGTAGATGATATCTGCAAAACACAATAATTGCAATTTTTGTATTAGGTTTGGCGCGATTTGAAAAGCCGGACTTCCGTCAAGGCAAGAGAGCGCAGGAAGCAAATGGCGGCAACAAGAAATGCTCCGATGTTAACAGCTCCGCTTTCTGATTTAGATCAGAAAATTTTGAGCTTACTTGGCACAGAATATGTGGAAGGGAGTAGCCAATGTGTGGAAAGTATTCCGGAGGAAGATGTTAGTACAAATATAGATGTATATATGTACATAGATAGTATGTGTGTATATTTGTATATTGTATTTGCCTACAAATATACAATTGTACGTATTAAAAAAACCATTCAATTTCGTATACATACATACGTATTTATGTACATATCGCTCATTTACTTCAATAGTGTCATAATAAAAAAGAAACAAAGATCGTCTTAAGTATGCAGAAATAATCGCTACCTTTTCTTCTATGTTGTGTAAAAATTTCACGGCTATATCGATTACCGGTAGAACAAAATATGCATTGATTTTTACTATGGGAGTACATATGTATATGTAAATTCAAAACTTTAAAGCTGTTTTTCTCGAGTTTTTTATTTATTTATTTTTTTTTTTAATGACACTTCCAGCAAATGTGCGATATGTTCATACATACATACATATATGTATATAATTATAGAGTCTGCAAATTTCTCTTGAGAACGGAGACGCATCCGTGCTGGTTGATTACCCTGTGGTTTCAATAGCAGAAGCAGCTCCTATTCCCGTCGAGGCTACTCAATCGACAGGAACCAAAAATGCTTCGACGTCCAGGCGAACTTCGACTTTGAAGCGAAAGTCCGTAATGGAAAGTACACGGGAGATTTTCGCTAAAGTAGCAAAGCAGCAGGCAGATGCTATGATGGTAAGTATAAGTTGCCTTATCTTAATTTTTGCCTTATATTTCGTCTTTTTACTTTAGATGCAGGCTGAAGCCGCCAAAGTGCAAGCTGAGTCAGCAAAACAGCAGGTTGAAGCCATGCTTCTACAAGCCCAGGCCTTTGTGCGCGTAGCAAACGCCTTGGAAGATTTAACAAGTTCTGTTAAGCTGCTGGTTAATAATACTGTTCTCGAATTTTGAACTTTTTTTGAGCCAAGGTTTTAATAGTTACTTCATTGAGACATTCTAAATTCAATGGATTCTCCCGTTCTATCAGATTGGCTCCAGCTTTCGAGATAACGGCACTTGAAAATTTGCTTAAATTTCAACTTTTTTTATAAATAACTCCCTGAGTTTTAAAGTTATTTTACTAAAACTTTGCTCATGACTGCTTTTTAATATTAAATTGACTATAAAAAATAGTCACGTGCAAAATTTTTTTAAAATAACACAAACACTAAGTGTTATTTAGAAACAATTTAAGCAAATTTTCAAGTACCGTTATCTCGAAAACTGGAGCCAATCTGATAGAACGGGAGAATCCATTGAATTTAGAATGCCGCAATTAAGCAAGATCAACTATCAAAACCTTTGCCTAAGTGGTGTAATAAATAAAATGTAATAATAAAAAGCACATATGTATGTTTGTATGTATGTGATAAATATTTATTAGTTGATTTTTTCTAAGTAAATTTAGCAGCTATAAGGCGCTCATGCATTCTCTTGGCGAGAGCTGATGGGTGAATGGATTCTTCCCAATCTTCTTCTAAAACTGCTTCCACAATTTGATCTTCACTTTGTATATCGCTGTTGTTTTCAACTGTGTTGAGTCGCATATTATGCAGAGCTGCGCAGGAGTTTACAATCCTGCCAGCGAAGCCTGGCTCGTACATAAGTACTCGCTGCTTCGAAAGGCATCGCCATGTTCCCTTCAAAACTCCAAATAGTCGTTCGACACAGTTCCTTGCTTTACATAAAGCCTCATTGTATCGAAATTGCGGTGAACCTTCTCTCTGGTTTGATAGAGGTGTCATCAGCCATGGCTCTAATGGGTAACCCAAGTCTCCTGTAAGATATTATTAATCAAAATAAATTTCGTCAATTTTCTAAAGAACAATACCTATTAAAAATGTGTTATGGTCTCCCCGATCATACGCTCGCTTCATTGCTCTCGGAACAGCGGATGCATTCCATATATATGCATCATGACGTGCACCGGGAAATCTCGCATTTACATTCAAAATTTTGAGGTTCGGATCACACACCTGTAAAAAAACCACCACTGTCTTAAAAAGCTGGGATCCAATAAGCGAAAAACGAGCATACAGAAATACAAATATTTATTTACATACGTATGTATGTATTTCTTACCATTTGAACGTTTATCGAGTGATAGCCGTGATGATTAATGTATGCCTCCTCATGATCTTTTGGCCCGATAACTGCTATGTGCGTGCAATCAATTGCACCAATAGCGCCATCAAGAGGCTCACGCGCTGCTGAAAAAATACTTCGAGCAACCTGTCGTTCAACTACCGTCATCGGGTAACGTACGTTTTCCATAAACATAGTTTCATTTATGGCATCAGTTACCCTATGAATTGAACGACTAATGGAAGACTGACTCATTGAGAGTCCCCATTGCTCTCCCACTGGCCGTTGGTAGCAGCCGGTCGCATAAAAACGAAGCGCTGCAAGCACCTGGAATCGACGAATTTTCTTTTTAAATTGATGGCCTTTGTTTGATGATCAAGAAGTTTTAGATTTCTTACCTGTTTTTCAGCCGATAATGCTGATACATATTTTCTTTCAAGACGACTGCCAATTTTGTCTATGATTTCATAAACAAGATTGGGGGTCAGCCGGTATAACCTTTTAAATTGGCCCTCGTCCAAATCAAAGGGGCTGTCCACTTCTCTTAGTAGAGCGCGTTCTGCTGCAAAACTCCTTGCTCCTTGTCGTTGTTGGGCCATTTCCGCATCGTATCCAAGAAACTGGAACGCCATTGTCGTTTTCTAAAAAGTTGTATTTTTTATAAACGAATTTATAATTTTTTATTATAATAGTTTGCTTACCGATGAATTTGCCTAATTTTTCTCAATAAAAACTTAAACCAATTTTATCGTTAGGCTTTTCAACGACAAAATATTCGTAGCTAGGCTATCGACAAATTTCGTTAGACAACTGTCAAAGCTCTGACAATATTCGCTAAAAGTGTGCTTGGGAATAGCAGTTAACGAAACTTGTCGGAATCGTTAGCTAACAATACGAAATTTGTCGTTAAGAAAAATGGGAATCGCACTACTGACTTAGTGACTTTTTTCCGTCCTTTTTTACTGAAAATATCCATAACAAAATTCAGACCAGAACTATAAAACTAAGTACCTAAGCTTACTAAAAAGCTTTAATATTTATAAAACTACTACTACTACTATTTACCGTTTTTAAAAAATAATACTAAGAA